TTATTAGTTATGCTACTAGGCCTGCTTATAATGTTTTAGTAATAGGTAGCTTTTTTCCTAATTACTCTTGTACTTAAGGGCAATCCTTTATATAGTATTCTAGTTTCTTATATAATAGTAGCATCTTATTATAAATATATTTTATAGAAGTTGTAGCTTAAGTATTAGCTTCTTCTTCTTTATTATTAATTTGCTAGCAGATTAATAAGTGCTAAAAACTAAAGGTTTTACTAATATACACACTAGTTATTAATTTATTTAAGGTAATATATTAATTATTTATATTAGTATATATTAGATTAGTAATTATCTCTTAAATTAACATATATCTATAGAGAATAATTATTTGCTTCAGATTATCTTGAACCTTATCTCAAAGGTCTACAATCTAGTCCTCTTCTCAGACTTCTACTTCGCAGGAAAGCTGTCAGAAGTCTCTTAAGAAGACAGCAAGGTCTTGCTGCCTTTGCTGTAAGTAATGATACTCCTGACGAGCGGTCTCCTGCTGAAACAAGGAGTTAAAGTGATTTACTATATCTATAAAGATATCTAAAATCTAGGCCCTTTTAAAAAAGGCTGGAAGAGCTAATAGGTCATCTGTCGCTTTCTTTGCGTGCTCGATTAATGTGTGTAGGGCGTCTTGATCTGTAGGAGGGGCTTTGTCTAGGCTCTGCCTCCGGTTGCTCAAGGAAGGATAGCGAACTTCGCTGCTCTCTCTTCTCTCTATTTAATTACAAACCATCTTGACTTAATAATTCTCAAACCTTTGTATAGTACAGGGTATTTGTATTAAATAGACTTTGCATTACTCTTAGAGTAATGACTTTTTTATATAATTAAATAACTCTAAATAAGTTCTTTAATAACTATATTATAAATAAAAGAGTTTTATATCATTTCTTAAAATAGTAAGTAAGTATTAAGCTTTTATTTACTATAATAGCTTGAAACTAAAATAAGTTAATAGTTTATAAATTATTAAAATAAAAGCTAGAGAATCTATTTATAATGTAGCTATATACAAATTTATATACTCTAACACTAATAGGTAAGGCTTATATATATATAGGCCACGTTATAGGCTACAAAGTATTTATAGTTCCTAATCCGGCCTTCTATTATATAGTGAAGTTTAGGCTTCCTTAATCAGGTAAGGCGAACCTCTTTATTTGTAATCCGTCTAGATAACTTACATACTTTAATAAGTGCCTTATAATAGGAGTTTGCTTGCTATTACAAGTCAGTTATAAGTATTACCTCCTGAGTATGTGGCTAGCATGTATATTTCTTATACTATATAAAAGAAATACATTATTTATTATAGTCCTATTATCTTTTCTTTTTTGACTTATATAATACTTTATTAAAGCTAGGCTATATATTAATAATAATAATACTAATTAGTAACTAGTTACTAATATATAAGAATATAAGAGTAGCTTCTTAGACTATATTTGATATAGCTATCTTCAACTTATCTAGCTTAATTAAGACTAATAATCTTGTTTTTTTTGCTAAGAATAATTACCTTAATCTTATCTTATTTTTTGACCTTTCTAATCTCTTTATTAGAGTAGCTTAGCTAAAAGTAATTATACTAGCTAATCTTTAATTTAATATTAATATTATTTTAGCTTAGCTATAGTAATAAGGAGTATAAGAATAAGCTCTAATTAATTAGATAGCTAAGAGGATCGCCTTAAAGCTAGCAAAAACAGCAAATACTAATGCTAACTTAGTTTACTAAATTTTAGAGTATGCTATACAGCTTATTATTGCTGGCTAGGAGTTAAAAAAACAGAATATAGTCTTGTAAGAACAAAATATAACTTTGTAAAAGCAAATTACTAATCTAACAGAGCAGCTAACTTATTATTAGACATCTATATATTAAGCGCCTGCCTCCTTAATGTTCTTTGTATATTTTAATCTATATATAAAGATAATAGCTAGTATATAATATAAGGCTACTCTTACTAATCCTTTTCTAAAGATAAAGCGTATCTCTAATCTGTTATTAATCTTTTTTCTGTTATTCTTTTTAAGGCCTATTCCCTTACAAGTATTAGACTATTATCTTGAGGAGACTAGATCCTCTAACTTAGGAAACAAAAAAGCTAATATAAAGCCCTCTAAGTTGACTTTTCTTCTGTTACTCGTTATTAAAGATCTCTGTAAGAGCACCCTTAAGACCTTTAGTAGCCTAAGTAGCCCTAAGGATATTTTGGTTAAAGACTAGATCTATAAGACTCGCTCTCTTATTAGTCCTTTTCCTTAGGATGACCCTTAGGTTATAAGATTTGTTATTAGCCTTGTAAAGGGTCTTGCCTAAGATCATATCTAGGAACACCTTAAACTGACGTCACTATATCCTATTCGGACGCCTAAAGAGATCTTCGCTATTATAAAGCAGGCCTTTAGAGAAAGCGACGCCCTGTGTCAACAATATGCTAAGATGGCCTACGCTACCTTACGCTAGGGCGATTAGCTGTTCGATGCTTTCTAGGCCGACTTTACACATTTGGCATCGCAAATTAGTAAGTCTACTCAGGATTAGTGTCACGGAGTTGACATAGAGGCCTCCTAGAGCCTAGATGGAGTCGTGGTCCGACTCTCTCTAGGGCATCTAGATAAGGATTAATAAACTATTCCAACTGTATTCAAGTAACTTTAGTTACTTAGGCGTAACTCTTTTGTGAAGTTGGATCACTATCTCACTTAACCAAAGTTGACCTTGATCGGGTTAGTCTTCATGTACGTACGCGGGTTCGAGTCCCCGTACGGCCTCTGATTACTTTTTCTGTTAAGGGCGCGTAATGGCGGGAGAGTTTAGTATATCTATTGTGGGAAGGTCCTTTATAGTGGGTTGAGGGCAATTTGACTATGCGCGAAATCGTAAGGGAGCCGGACGTGGGGCCGGAGCTAGGTGACAGAAATAGTAGGACTTCCCGCCCACCCTTAAAATAATCCTCTTTTTTCTATTCTATTATTTTATCAATTGTTATTCAAATCAGCTAAAAAATGACTAAATATCGCAAAACTACTCAAAAAAACTGTTAATAGCCTGATTCGTTAATTTCGATACCCATAGAGCCTCCACGTGAGCCAAATATGATAGTTGATACTCTACAGCGTACGTGACTTCTTTGCGCCGCGCAGGCTATAGCAGGCAAACTACCTTGAAAAAAGCTATTTAAATTACTTAGTATACCAAAAACAATAGGCTATCAAATCCTTAAATCATAATCTACGCGCTATAGCAATAGCGTTTATAATCATGGTTAAAAACCTGCCTTAAAGCCTTATTAATATAAGGCTATTAAGATAGTTAAAGATAGCTTATTTTGCACTATATCTGCCTCTTATTATGTTATAATAAGCTTTATTAGCCTAGATTAAGGATCTAAATATATAACTTAATAGAATATAGCTTAATTTAGAATAAGCATCTATAAAGTATAGCAGAAAAAATATATCTATTTTAAAAATATTAAGATATACAAAATATAAGGATTTAAACATTAGTATTAGAATTTAGAGAAATTTAAGTAATATAAATATAATAATAAGTATTATTTTATATATAGCTTATAATATTAAGCTATAGTATATTATTAAAGTAATATAAAAGTATAAAATATTCCTTCTAAGATCTAATTTTAATTAAAATAACGCAACTAAATTTAGTATATATTTACATATATTAGATGGAATTATAAGAGTCCTTTATACTTTTACATAGGCGCAGAGGGTGGCAGACGGCTTACACAAGCTGATTATCTCGTTTTTTTAGAAGAAGTTATCACTCCTAATTAGGATAAGGATTAGATACTTCTAGAGGATAATGACAATGCGTATAGCACTTATAGCAAGGCTGAAAACAAAGTCAAAAAGGCCAAAGCTCGTCTAGGGATCCATTGGGAAGCTAATTGCCCAGAATCGCCAGATTTGAACCCTATTGAGAGTATCTAGAGGTTGTTGAAGCAGAGGCTAAAGAATCAAGGCCTTATTACTGATCTAGAGGAGCTGCGGCGGGCAATTGAGGAGGAATGGGAAAAAATAACTCTGGAGGAGATCAATAAGGCAATTGCTACGATGCCCAAAAGAGTAGCTGCTGTAAATGAGCGAAATGGTCTTCCTATACCATTTTGAAGATAGAAGTAATAGAGTGCTCCAGGGCGGGAAGTCCCACTATTTCCGTCACCTAGCTCCGGACCCTGCCGACCCTCTGCCAGGGCAGGAGTACCCACAGCCTCTGCCAGTAGAGACAGAAGAAGAGGAGACGTGGGAGGTCAAAGATATAGTCGACGTCAAGAGAGTGGGCAAAGCATGGAAGGTACGAGCAAGATGGTCTTTTGTGAAGTTGGATCACTATCTCAATTAGTACGAAGACCTGCAGGAGAAGATGTCCGCCAAACTTCTTCGCGAGATAGGAGATCGCATCTTTTACAACGCCGGCACAATAGCCTACTAGGTTATAGAGTAAGAGAACCAGCTTATAATAATTCGTAGAAAAAAGAGAGAGGAGGAGCGAATTCGTAACCGTGCTCAGCCAAACAGCCCGAGATCTAGCGCAAGACGTCTAGAGAGAGGCACTCCTCTTACGTTAGTAAGAAATACGTTAGATAAGATGGCGTATCCGTTCTCTTTAGTCCTAATAATAGGCTTACTACGACGCTCTCTCTTTCCCGGTTAGGCCCCTAGTTCGAAATCAAAGCGCGTAAGCTTTAAGAAAGACGATATGATAACCTGCTTCTACTGCAGCAAGCCTGGCCATCTAAAACCTGACTGTTCTGACCTTCACGTTAGTAAGATTAAAGAGGCAGAGTCTGACTTCGAAGATGAGTCTTCTGGTCCTAATGAGGAACCTGCGAAGTCCGAAAACGAGATGCCTTAGGCGAAATCGCAGCTTTGGGCTATTACAAGAGCGTACCTGTCAGGCTCAACTAGCTCGTTAGAGAGCTATCTCTTATTATGGCATTTGATCTTAAGGGTACAGATAATAAGGTTCTTTATCTTTGCGCTTTAGTAGATAGTAAAGCTAACGTATATATTCTAATTAATAGAAAGATCACTTAGGCCGCCTCTTAATAGCTTAATATTTTTATTATTTCTTTAGAGAGAGCTATTTTACTAATTAGATTTAATAGTTAGTCTAATAGGCTAATTAATTATCTGCTTCTTATTATAGCCTAGATTTATAGCTATACTCTTGCTAATATCTTGCTTTTAGCTGCTAATCTTAGCTCTTATAATATTATTCTAGGCTATAAATAGCTAGTTAAGTATGATATCTTGTTAGATTATAAAAGAAACAAGATATACTAACTAAAGGACTACTAAGTACAGGAATAATATAATACTTATAAAGATAAGTTATTTAAGAAGGATATTTAACATTATAACTTTAAAGTTAGCTTTAATAATGCTAGTAAGACTAGGACTTAGTTTCAGAAATCTGTGTAAGAATAATGTTAGTATTATTAACGTTATAAAGTAGAGCTTAAGTTACTTCTTTCTAATAAAGTTAATAAGAGCCTTAGTCCTAACTCTGATCTAAATAAAGCTAATACTAATAATAGAATAATATCTATAAATCTTGTAAGCGCTATAGTCTTTTATATTAGTAATAAGTAGGATAACGTAATACTAAGGACAGTTATATTAGATAGCATTAATTATAAGCTTTAGAAATAAGGCTGCCTTACTCTCTGCTAAGTTAGTTAAGTTTAAGTAGCTAATAATAATAAATAAGATGTTCTTAATAACCTTAGATCTTGTTCTAATAATCTTAAGTCTATCCTTAGCTATCTTCCTCTGTATCTCTGTAATTAAGCCGCTGCCTTCTTAAGAGTAGCTATAAATACTCTGCCTTTATATTATCTATTTAATTATAAGTTACACTTTAATAAAGAACTAGAGATAAAGGCGTTATATCTATATAAGATGTTAACTTAAAAGCTTATAACTATAAGAGAGTATCTAATAAAGAACCTATATAAAGAATTTATTTGCTTATTATTTTCCTCTTTCTTATTACTTATTTTATTTATTAAGAAGAAAAACAGAGACCTTAGATTCTATATTAATTATAAAAGTCTAAATAAACTTATAAAGAAAGATAAATATTCTTTGCTTTTAATCTTAGAGACTTTATTATAGTTAGCTTTTATAATAATCTTTATAAAGCTTAATATCTGTTATATATTTAATTATATTAAAATAGACTCTAACTTAATTTATTAGACGTTATTTTAAATAATTTATAAAGCTTTTAAGCTAGTAGTCCTTCTCTTTAGTCTTTATAATAATCTTATTATCTTTTAGCATTATATTAACTTTGTCTTTATAGATTACTTTAGCGTCTTTTATATAGTATATATATCTTTATAAAGCTTAATATCTGTTATATATTTAATTATATTAAAATAGACTCTAACTTAATTTATTAGACGTTATTTTAAATAATTTATAAAGCTTTTAAGCTAGTAGTCCTTCTCTTTAGTCTTTATAATAATCTTATTATCTTTTAGCATTATATTAACTTTGTCTTTATAGATTACTTTAGCGTCTTTTATATAGTATATATTAATAATATCCTAATCTTTTTAAAGAATAAGAAAGAGTATTAATAATATATATACTAGATTATAATAAGGCTATATATAGCAGATCTATATATAAATAGATCGGAAGATAGACTATAGTATAAAGATTAACCTAAATAAGACTAAGATTATTTATAACTAAGAATCTCTTATCCCTTGTAAGCCTAAATACATCTAAAGATGTCTCCTTCCTATTTAGGACTAGTACTTTTTGCTTTTAAAAGGCTAATTATTATAGCTATAAGACTATAAATAGTATTATTCGAAAGCTAATTCTTCTAGCTTTTAAATAATATTATTTAAAAGCTAGAAGAATTAGCTTTCGAATAATACTATTTATAGTCTTATAGCTATAATAATTAGTCTTTTAAAAGCAAAAAATACTAGTTCTAAATAGGAAGGAGACACCTTTAGATTTATTTAGGCTTATAAGGGATAATAAGAAGAGATATATAGTTATTTCTTAGATTTTATAATTTCTATTAAATGTTTATTAAGGGATATAAGCGTATTATTAAGCCACTTAATAATCTAATAAGAAAGGATACTACACTAAAGTTCTAATTAAATAAGATTTAACTTGACACTTTTTATATACTATAACATAAGTTGCTCTTTCCTTTTATCCTTACGTACTTTAAACTAGAACATAAGACTTAAGTAAAGACGAATTATTTTAACAAAGCTATAACTAATATATTAATATAACTTAATTCTTCTGACTTAAAGTAATATTTTGTTACTTTCTTCTTTATTATACTTAAAGAATTATTATAAATCTTATAATAAGATTTATAATAAAGAGATATTTATAGTTATCTTAGTCTTTAAAAAATAATAAGCTAAACTAACTAGTCTTAATATATTCCTTATTATAATAGACTATAAGACCCTTAAGTATTTTAGTATTAAACATCTTCTTAATAAGTAACAAATTTAATAGATAAATATTCTTTTAAGGTTTAACTATCACATCTACTACTAATCTAGCAAGAAAAATGTTATGACAAATGTCCTCTTGCGTAAGAACAAAGCTACCCTAATACAGAAGAAAGCTAGAATGCAAAAGAAGACTCGGACATTATTAGATCTGATAAGAATAAGGGTAGCTGTTATAAAGGACATCAAGAGTCTTAATATTATAATAGAAGTCGTTAGAGAGAACTAAGAGAGCCTGACTCTAACAAAAGAACGTCAGCTAGCTACAACAGGATGCCTCCTGCTGCTACGCCTGCGCCTATAAAGTCAAAGCGTTCTAACAAAAAGGCAGAACCACTCATCGCCTAGTCTGAGAACGTTACACGCCAAGATACGCCGGTACTCATAGCAGCAATGGCAGTATTAGTATCATTTGATACAATAATTAAGATTAGCGTTAATGCTATCATGTCAGAACAGCACCAGAGAATAAAGGACTAGGTGAAGGTGGCTGTGAGAAGAGACAGGCCTTAGTATCAGTAAGTACTAGTAATTGTGTGGCAAGAGGATATCTTAGGTCAGCATGCTATACTATTGTGTTGTGCTTGTTTTGCTATATACTGCTACTGTTTTTTTTTATCAGATATAAGAGCATGTCAAGTCTTCTGAAGGGAAGTATTATTTTTTAAAAGAATACTATTTATTTATTATAGTTTTGTTCTTATTTATCTTAATCTATCTAGATCTAGTAATACTACTATTACAGCTACTATGCTTATCGCCTATTAGTACTAGGGCACCAGAGGTGATGTTACAGCTACTATGCTTGTCGCCTGCTAGCGCTAAGGCGCCAGGTATTAATTAGCACTAGACATTAGTAAGGGGCATGCTTGCTATATAGAAGCGACCCTAGGGCCCTTACTGTCAACTCTTCAGTCTTAGGATAGCACTCAACATAGACTAAAAATCTCGCATACTTATTACCTACTTCTAATATAACACGTGATATATATAATTTAAAGTTTAGTCTTATCTAAGTCTATTATAGTTTCTTTATAAAGCGCTAGATAGCTTTATAATACTTATTTATACTTAACATATTTATATATTATAATAAGTATTATTTTATAAAAGAATACTATTTATTTATTATAGTTTTGTTCTTATTTATCTTAATCTATCTAGATCTAGTAATACTACTATTACAGCTACTATGCTTATCGCCTATTAGTACTAGGGCACCAGATATTAATTAGCACTAGACGTTAGTAAAGGGCATGCTTACTATATAAAAGCGACCCTAAGGCCCTTACTATTAACTCTTTAGTCTTAGGATAACACTTAACATAAGCTAAAGATCTTACGTACTTATTGCCTGCTTCTAATGTAATATATAACATTATCTTAAGACTTCTCTTTGACTAGAAACTATAATAGATGAAGTATCTCCTCTGCTATAATGTAGGAAATACACAGGACTAGTCACGCACTTAGATAACAGTGCTGATAATGTATCTATAACAGTATACAGAACTCTTGCTGTTAAGTTACTATGCTACTAATAGAGGTATCTGTACAGCACGTAGCTCTCTATACAAGTATTATAAAATAGGAGTAGGATAACACTTAACATAAGCTAAAGATCTTACGTACTTATTGCCTGCTTCTAATGTAATATATAACATTATCTTAAGACTTCTCTTTGACTAGAAACTATAATAGATGAAGTATCTCCTCTGCTATAATGTAGGAAATACACAGGACTAGTCACGCACTTAGATAACAGTGCTGATAATGTATCTATAACAGTATACAGAACTCTTGCTGTTAAGTTACTATGCTACTAATAGAGGTATCTGTACAGCACGTAGCTCTCTATACAAGTATTATAAAATAGGAGATTAATATAATCTCTTTAAGGAAGTATAATCTTCTCTAGAGGGAAGCT